TAAAAGAATTAAAAGAATTGTCTCTATGTAAGTATTTCCCTTTTAATAAAATTTGAAAAAATCGAAGAGCAATAAAGATTTCGATAACTAAGTCAGCATTTATAAAGCCTAAAACTGCGATTCGATTTTCATAAAATGCAGAATTACATGCAATTTGGAATTCTTTACCAGAATCTAAGGCGTTTCTTGGATGAAGAAACAAAACCTGTGAGAACTAAAATGGTAAAATGTATTTTAGAAACTGTTTTACAATATTTCATTATAATTTTACATTATTTTGTACATTACTTGGAATAAAGTTCTTGTTGATAATAACACTAAGCTTATCACGTTATCCAACATACGATTTTCAATGACTTGATTAATTTTTTTTAACCTCCACAGTAAGAAAGATGCTAAGGAAGTTCGGTGTATAAAGTCTATGATAGCAGTTATATATCCTAGAATTTCACAATTTCCAGAAGTTAAAAGATAGACGAAGTTAAGTGTATACTTTAGGCCACCAGTTAAGTTGAAAACCGATTTAAGAAAATATGTCGTCTGAGTTTTTTTTATAATATTGAATTAAAGTTACTAATGAGTTGTAATAAAATATCGCAACTTGATCTAGCTCTGACATTTTTCAAATGAACTGTACTGGAAATGAAATTTATATTAAATAATACGGATACAATTTATTTATACTCATTCAATTTTGAAAATATTTACTTTAGAATATTGTAATTAAGAAAGTAAATATTTTTAATTGGCTATTTCAAAAAAGAAAATCCACAATTTAATTAAATCAATTAATAAATTTATTATTTTGCCATTTTATTGAATAAATTAATTTAATGACAAAATTTTGACATTTGTAAAAAAATGATTCAATCCTTTTGAGAAAGGGTCAAATATGTCTGATCAAACGCTATATGAAGCTGAATAATTATTATAATAAAAAAAAAAAAAAAACTATGAATTGGCACTCGAAATATTGAATAAGATTACACAACAACATGAAGCAAAATTAGAATACAAAAATTAAGCAAAATGTAGCTGGCTCATTGTGATGAATTTGGATGTCAAAAAGGATTATAAAAAGGTCTTTAATATCTATTTAGAACTTTCAAAAACTAAGACTCATTCCACTAAAGCTAAAGAATGCTTGACATGGTTTTATTTTTCTGGGAAGAAGGGTGTTGTGAACCAAGACTCTAAAAAAGCCTTTGAAACTTTCAAAAAGCGATTCAGACCAACAAAATTCTGTAAAACTTATGTTGGCAAAATTCTATCTAAATGCGGTGGTTCAAAATCAAAAAAAGGCAGTTGAGCTCTTTTTGGAACTTTCTAAAAGCGAATTAGATCAACAAAATTCGCTATCACTAAATTTGAGTTGGCTCGTTGTTATGAATATGGATTAGGCATATTTTGATCTTTCAAAAAGTGAATCGCGTCATCAAAATGATGCTCTTAGATGCCTAGGAAAATACTACATAAAAAATTGTGATGAGAATGAGTGGCATTTAATGTAAGGATCCATCTTAACACCGATAATGATGCTAAATAGGTTTAATCTGTGGATAATACTAATTATTAAACAAGACAAGAATTTTAAATTTTTGACAGAGGTTATATTATTAAAAAGGCTTTTAAATCTAATATATCATTACTATTTATATTGTTTTTCATAATGAAATCTAATTCTGCCATTCTTATTTATACAAAATGTGAAATTTTTAAATTCTCTTAAGCTTACCAGCTTCTATGTCCCCGTGTAATTAAGTTTATTAATAAATTTATCTGATACATTTACGTGTTATTTTATCCGAAATAGCATTTTACATTAGTATGGTCTTTGTGTAAATGATAACATTAGAGACTAATTTTTTTATTTAAGCTTATTAATTTTGTTGGCTGAAGTACACAGTTTCGGTAAGAATTCCATTAATGCCAGCTTTATAAAAATTTTTGCCAAAATTATTTCATGTAATTTGATTTCAACTCAGTTATATACGATTTCTAAAATTTTTATAACCATTTTTGTCAGCTTTTTTTTTTTTTTATAGTTAAGTTAGGGTTTAGGGTTAGAGTTATATAATTTCAGGTAATTAAAAACCAACAATAAAGGGCCAACAAAAACTCGCTTATGCAAAGGTATTTCAGAAAACAATACAATTTTCTATTTTTTGAAACTAAAATATTTTGATTTTTTTTAAAATTTAATGTTAACTCCAAATTATTATTTTGAACGATTGGGTTCTGCAGCAAATTATACTGTAAAAATTAGAATACTTTGATCATCCTACTTGACACATATTCCGTTATAATCGGAGTCGTTTTTTATCGGAGGGATGTGTTTCGTTCGACATTTTTTGGTGATCTTGCTTTCCTGAGTTGAAGGTTGAATGTTCAGTATATTATGCATATAAATAATCCACAGATTATTTTAAACCGTTAAATATCCATAGATTTAAAGTAACCTAGATTATTTATATTCTTTATAATTTACGGTTCGCTTCACTTACGTCGAGAAAGTTGGACAGTAACAACCACGGAAGTCCTCAGTACTTCGAGAATCAACCGGACAGAGTTACTGCTTATGTCACTTAGGCAGTAGATTTAGGGATAGGTATATTTTATAGCGTGTTCGAAATCTGGATAAAGTAAAACCGGTTTTAAGTTTTAGAAGCCGGTTTGTATGAATTATACAACTGAGTTAAGATATTATAAAACCGATTTAATATTAAGGACTTAATTAGGCATCGCACCCTGCAATGTAACTATACATCGCATCTAGCAATTTATCCAATCAGATTTGACGATCAGGTGTAACGTTACATTTGTTTTGAAGATCAGGTGTAACGTAAAATTTTTGCTTTTTTGCTTATTTTTTAAAGAAATTGCAAATATCTCAAAATTTTGATTATGAAACCACCTTTGGCGTTCTAATTAAAAAAATTCCTTGCTAAATTTTACTATAAGGTGGCCTAACCCCAATTGAGTTTTCGCCCTAACCCTAAGCTAAATAGAGATTTGGTTTTTTAAAAAAAATATATATTACACAGATCTGCAAACTATGTTTTTGTATATACATGCGATGTATAGCTGTATCGCAGGGTGCAACGCATATATTTATTCTAATATTAAATCGGGTTAACCCGAATTTATACCCGAATTTTATTAACCGGTTCCGACCTCTAGTATTGACATTGCTCGTATTTTATGTTCTTTTGTTTTGTTTTCGGAATCTTTATATTTTTATAAAATTTATTTAATAATTCTACCGACATTACACTTAGAGATGGGCAAATCGCAGTTTCCCCAAAAATCCCGCGCGTGATCCGCGCATTGCCCATCTCTAATTACACTCCCCGGCTTGAATTATAAATAAGATTAGTACATATGTTAGCATTAGAGATAGACTGTCGCTTCTATTAATAAATTTTGCCTGTCATTTTAATTAGTGCGTCAATATCGATTTAAACATTAGTTTTTGAGTATTTTCACTTTTCTTCTTTCACGCTTGTTCGTCGTGCTATTTCAAGACTTTCTTATGCTTGAACATTCTTCCCCTTCGCTAAAAGCAAAATAAATCTCCCTCCCGAATTATCGTTACCCGTCCGGTTGTTGTATCCTAAAGTACCAGGATCAGCCGTAGTTACTGCATCCAATTATTCCGAAGTAGTGTGGATAGTTGTGGTTATTGTCGTCTAATTACCCGATCTTCAATTTTATTTAAAAATTTATTTTATTATCTTCAATTTTATTTAAAAATTTATTTTATTTTATCTTCAATTTTATTTAAAAATTATCACGTGTAACTTCAAAGATCCGTAGATCAGTAAAAATATTCTTATGTTTAAAATTTATTAATTTGCGAGCAGCGACACAGTATATTTAATTACTGTAATAGCGTATATACATTGACCACTATATAACTATATAATCATCAAATTAAACTTTATTATCATAATCTTCTTTAATGAGTTTACTTGCCCTCCATGCAACCATAGCGGTGGGAGCATTAAGGTTACCACCTGGAATAGTTGGTAAAATTGAAGAATCAACGACTCGAAGATTTTTGGTTCCATAAACTTGAAGACGATGATTAACACATCCTCCTTGAGATTCTGGTGCCATTTTTACAGCACCACATGGATGAAATGATGAATGTGCCTAGAAAATTGGATGAAATACAAATAAATTACCATATTTTACACAATGTATCCAACGTATCAATATATTTATTATATAGGATTTACCTTACTAAGAATATATCGTTCCCAATCTTCATCATGCATCTTTCCATCTGAACTACACCATTTTCCAAATTCATCATCAAACCCAATTTCTTTTATACCCCATACGTCATTTAATGAAAGTTGTTTACATAATTCACGTAATAATTTAAGGGAACTAATCATTCTATACAAATCATCAGGCTTTTCATAATAATTAAGAAACAATTTTGGTGGTGAAAATGGATTGGAGCTACATAATTCCAAATGGCCAACACTTGATGGATAATTAAGAACTGATATTAAGCTAAGACCTTGAATGTTCTTTTTTGATGTTTCATCAACCAAATCTGGATCCATTATCCTTGTGACCACTAATAAATAATAATGGTAGTAAATACTTTAAAAAAAATATTGGCAGTTTACTATTATTATTTAATTCAATATTAATATTATTTCAACATACCATAACATTGCATGTCGGGATGTTCATCAAGAAGTTCTTCCTGACTAGGAAATTTTCCTTCAACATTACCTTTATGAAAGAATCCAAGCTCAGAACCCCAAGAATTGTAATTACCTGGAACAGAAACTTTGGCGCTTATAACGCTACCAACATGATCCAATAAATTATGTCCAACCGGTAATTCTTTACGAACTTTGATATTGTATTCTTCCAAATTATTTTTTGGACCAATTCCAGAGAGCATTAAAATCTTAATTAAATAAAAAAATTTATCATCAACTCAAAATGTTTTGTCAACATGGGATATTGGTGTAAAGTATTTCATATTATATAACTATGTAAATGCATATTACCTGAGGACTATTAATGGCACCACCACAAAGAATCAATTCACCTTTTGGGGCAATGAAAGCGTTGTAAACTACACCATCATAAAAATATTTTACGCCGATTGCAACGTTTTCATCTTTCTTTTCTTCATCCCAAATAATGTTTAACACGTGAGCAGAAGATTTAACATTAACAGATACGATCTTTCCGACTCCACCAATATGGGGTGGAGGGCAAATTTCAACTTTTTTTAATGCATCCGCCAAATAACCATCAGCCAACGAAAATCGTTTTCCACTTTTCATTGTATACTATATTGAATAATTAGTAAATAAAAAACATTTTAAAATCGTTTTTATTAGATTCCAGTATTCTAGTTAATCACTTACTTGATATATCCCCATTCCATTTTGTTTAGCACCATTAAAATCATTATTATCAGGAATACCAAGATTTTTTGCGGATTTAACAATATCCTTTGTAATATCTTGGATTTCAACATCTTGTACGTGAAGTAGACCTTCGGATCCGTGATATTTTTTAAACTCTTCATCAGGATTTTCACGTGTGTTGTTTTCAGTCGCTTTGAAAGCTTTATTGTTAAAAAATCAAAAAAAAAGTGATTAGGTTATTAATTACCGTACAATCATAAAAAGAAATAAAATAATAAATATATTGTAACATTAACCCTCGAGACAGTGCTCATAATCCCAAATTTTGTATTCGGGACTTTGAGCCGCCCATAAATCGTAATCAAATTTTTGACCTCGTCTAAAAGAAAGATGTAAAACATTTAAAGTGTATGTAAAAGGTGGAACAAATTGGAATTTTTTTTTAATTTACATGTAAATCATTCCATTCACACTACTACATCCTCCAACAACTTTGCCACGTGGATAAAAAGATCCATTATAAGATACTTCTTTGGTAGGATCAATGATACTAGGCATTTTTTGACTTTCTGTAGTATAACCCCAATCTATTTCTATTTCATTCGATGCTGTATCGAACTAATTAAAGTAAATTGTTAGTAAAAAAAGAAATTTGATAACCTCATGCGGTCAAAAATTTTCATACTCACCGAACCATAAGTGCATGGCTCACGCATTCTACCATTAACTTGTGTATTTGATGGAAAGATGCATGATGAAGATTGGGAACGATATATTCTTAGTAAGGTAA